ACACCTCAAAAAGAGTTTCAATTCTTTCACGTGCACCAAGTTGTACGCGCACCGTTTATTTTCTTTTTTAGTTTTTTTTCTAGTATCAAAATTAGTCAGTCGCTTCTGTCGAATGACGAAAATTGTTTTTAAAAAATTACAGGGGCTTGCAATACAACACACATTATTTCTGAGATAAAAACGCTGTATTGAATTTAATAAGAATTCACATTGAATATTGCCAGTTTAAGACATAAGGGCGTAATTGCAATTGTATAACTGGTGTTCTAAGTTTCCAGTCGTAGCACACTACTGCTGTCTTAGAGTTCAAAATTGAACTACCAGTGAGTTGAAGACAAAGCGTAGCACCTACACATATCCGTAAAGATATTACCCACGGCACAGCTCACTGAGTTTCTCGCTGGATCGTCTCAGTGGGTCGCGTTTCCCATCCGGTGGTAGTTTTTTATTTATTGCTTATATGGGTGGACGAGCTCACAGCCCATCTGGTGTTAAGTGGTTACTGGAGCCCATAGACATCTACAACGTAAAATGCGCCACCCACCTTGAGATATAAATTCTAAGGTTTTTTTTTATTTATTGCCTTTGTAGGCAGACGAGCATACCACCTGATGGTGAGTGGTTATCGTCACCCATGGACTTCAGCAATGCCAGGGGCAGAGCTAAGCCGCTGCCTACCGCTTAATACTCCCCACAAGCCTCGTTTGAAGAAAGACATGTTATAGCGCTCGGGAAACACCGTGGAGGGGAGCTCATTCCATAGCCGGATGGTACGTGGCAAAAAAGATCTCTGGAAACGCACTTTGGATGACCGCAGTGGCTCCAGGTAGTATGGATGAACTCTATTCCGGTGGCGAGCGGTGTGATGGTAAAAACGAGACGTTGGTATCATCTCGAACAATTCCTCCGAGCACTTCCCATGGAACATGCGGTACAAAATACAGAGGGAACCGAAGTCTCAGTATAGTTACAACGGCTGCCCCACCCTTCAAACCGAAACGCATTACTGCTTCACGGCAGAAATAGGTATGGTGGTGGTACCTATCCGCATGGATTTACAAGAGGTCCTACCACCAGTAAAAATTCTGCGAAGATTCTGCGAAGCACGGCTCTTGCTAGGGTTAGTGTTAGCAACGTCATCAGGGTTGAGCGCCGTGTGTTCACCTATTCACACGGAGAATCTAGTATAACCCCTTGAGGTTACTAGAATAGGTAGGAAAAAAAAAAAAATGTGTGTGTGTCCGCTCCGACGCACGACTGGAGTTTACTGGATATAAAAAATTAAACGAAACAATACGAGAAATAGTTCTATATTACGACAACACGATACACTACAGATTATTAACAAATTAACGAGACACAAAACAAACGACTAACAAATATATGAAAATACAATAATGAGAGAAACGCGCGATCAGTACGAGGCTTTGTGGCGGACTGCCGGCGCAGCAGCCCGGCGTCACCTGCGATAACGCGGCCGCGCGTTGGCTCCTGATTGGCGCGCGCACGCATCACGCAATCAGGAGCCAATCAGGCGCATAACGCATTTCGTGTGACATGCTAGTACGATTTTGGTCCCCATAATTTTCATACCCCGGGCCTATATATGTAAATCGATTCTAAAGGAGTAAACTCCAAAAGAACATATCAAACATTATAATAACATATCAAACATTACAAATCGTAGACTTACACGTGTTCTTCAAAATAAATCACCAGTAACCAGATATTTCTTATAAACAAATTCTGTCTCAGGTTAACCGAACAGTAGGCGTTGTGTTGATTAACTTTTTAACTGGATTCTATCGTAATACGAGTTCCGGTCCCACCTGGTGCTAAGTGATATCGTAGTCCATGACCAGACCAGTACAGACCTTGAAACGTGAAAGCCTCCGAAGGTTTCTACGATAATGAAAAAGTAATCTTGAGTGCATAGTAATATATACTATTAGATTATACATCGCACGCTTAGACTTAACATAATATTGTACGGTTTTTACCTCAAAAAATTTTTAGGATAGTGAAAGAGTAATCTTATGTGCATAGTGCATGTATTACATTATACATGCATCGCACTTAATCGGGTATTGTACGCTTTTTGTCGATACAAACATATAATTCGTTATCCAAGTAAAATAGTACCGTCTCTGCCTTCCTAATATCCGTCCCGTTTTTAATTTAGTGAAACTAAAAAAGAAATAAACGCACCGTTGCCGGATCACGTATGATTACGGAGGGACCCCACCTTTATTACATTAATATGCTAACCCTTTCGGTCGATTCATTTTGTCTAAAACGAACTAGCATTCACCTTCGCTTGCTTTTTTTTTTCTTTTTTTAATTCTATTCCCTTTTATTTTACGGTGTGACGTCGGGTATAGTTTTGTAGTGGGGCTGTTTAATTTGATCGTAGCGATTGAAATATATGTTTTTTTGATGTGAAAACAAAAAGAATATAAACATTTACAAATAATGATGCTGTAGCTATTTGCTGAAAATGTTTGTGAAGGTAAGTTAATATTTCTAGAAGTAAGCGCTAAATTTAAACCTTAGCCACTGAAATTGTAGTGAAATATTCTTGACTTGAATATAGTCCTAACCTCTAGACACAGCCCACTGAGTTTCTCGTCGAATCTTCTCAGTGGGTCGCGATTCCGATTCGGTAGTAGATTCTGCGAAGTACTGCCCTTACTATGACTAGTGTTAGCAAATTATCTCAGGTTGCGCCCGTAAGCTCACCTACCTGGAATAGTCCCTTAAGCTACTAGTGAATAAGTAGAGAAAATAATAATAAATGTATGCTACATACCAATGAAAGGCTTCTTTAAAAATAAATGATACTGGCTGGTATGATGAAATCGAGGATACGATTGCATCATAACGGTAGTTACCTACTGGTTTATTAGCATATTAATTTATAAGCTTAACAAATTCTCTCGGGTTGAGTCCGTGAGCTCACTTACCCGTCCGGGCGTAGCTGGATTAGCTCCTTAGGCTACCAGCGAATTGGAAAAAAAAGTTAAGTTATCCTTTATTTATTATATATTATTATTATTATATATTACTAATATATATATATAAGTCTCTCTCATACAGTATATCTATATCATTACCAATATCAATGCCTAGGTAACTCACTCTTGTAAATTTCTATCATCTTCAGTGGCTTTAGTTAGACTGCTTGAAATATTTTTTTAAATTTATTATTTATAGCAGATTGAGATGCTGATCATTGATCAGAATTATTATTGACTAGTTCTTCTGGATAGACAGTTCAAGAGAAGTGTCTTAAGTTAGAAACTGCGTTTAATTGCTCCCTTAGGAAACATATCTGAGGATAGCGAGTCATGAGTGATCATTAATCAGAATTATTATTGACTAGTGCTTCTGGATAAACTGTTCAAGAGAAGTGACTTAAGTTAGAAATTGCGGTTAATTGTTCCCTTAGAAAACATCTGAGGATAGCGAGTTTTTCTTCATTAGACATGTAGCTGAGGTGATTATAATGGCAACAATAAATTAAAGTATCAAATCGTGTCGTGTCGTTTATAATCCCCTCCACTCGAAAGCGCAACGCTTCCACAATGACGTATCACGTCAGCATATTAATTCACCGTTTAATTCATATAATAATAATATTCAGCGGGCACATTGTACCCTTTGTTTTAGTGCATTACCCCGGCTTCGAGCGGTCGGTTTATTCTGTGATGTTATTTTTTGTACGCTAACGAACAATGCGCAAGGAATTCCTTTGAGAGATTATGAATTTTACGGAATTAATTTAGTTGTGTTTTTTTTTTGTTTTTTTTTTGTTTTTCACTCTTTTGTTTCTGACCTCGTTGTTTTTGGAATGTCAGGGCTATCGAACTGGATTCTGTTTGAATAACANCGGCTTCGAACGGTCGGTTTATTCTGTGATGTTATTTTTTGTACGCTAACGAACAATGCGCAAGGAATTCCTTTGAGAGATTATGAATTTTACGGAATTAATTTAGTTGTGTTTTTTTTTTGTTTTTTTTTTGTTTTTCACTCTTTTGTTTCTGACCTCGTTGTTTTTGGAATGTCAGGGCTATCGAACTGGATTCTGTTTGAATAACAAAAATGTAACGATGTAGAGAGCATAGCATTACGCATCAATGAAACAAGAAAAACGCACATCTATTCACAGATGTTAGGCTGCAATAGTCCGCTTGTATTCATTACTTTAATTTAATTTTCATTGCTTCTGTTTTAAATTTTCCGGCTACATTAAGTATACGATATTTAGTAACTGCTGTTTGGGCAAGCGTCTCCTTAAGTCACATTGCTAATACGTTCTACAATCAGCCGATAAACCCTTAATTCCAACTACCTATGAATATATGACTTAAGTCATATAGGTTTTGAAAATAATTTGGCAATCGAAAGTAAAACGCTTCATTTAAAATATTTTTTTCGTAAGTTTTGGTGACCATAGCGGATAGCCACCACAGAACTGAAGATATTTGACAGATGCCTGAACCTCGCTTACGACATTTTAAAGATAAGCTAGTTTAAATGATTATACAAGTTCTGAAAAACAGCATTCGGATCGTCGGTCTCCCAAGCTATGTCAACGACTCGGTGGAAGATTTTCCTTCGTCGTAATTTCTATAATGACCTTCTTCTTGTCTTTACATCACATTTTGTGAGATCGGCACAGCATGCCTTTCTTCTATTTCCATTTATCACACGACTATTTTAGACAGCAATGCCTTTACCACGTGTATGTGAAAAAGCACTCTATGCTCTAAGAATGAAGAACTCTTTGAAATTACACCTACTTGTAATCAACACAGTTTGAATTTATAACACTATGATAGAAAAAAACGTTAGGCAGAAGCTGTCAAATTCGAAGCTGTCACAAAAAAATCTGAAACATAAAATAATAAAGATGTGAGGAAAATTAATGAACAGTGTTAATTATGAAAATACCAAAAAGATCGTTATGCCGAAAGGTCACATTGAAGTGAAGGGTCAACATGTTCGAAGGAGCTTTCTTAAAGACATATGACCCTGAACTTATTGAAGTACATTCAGACAGTTCCGATTTCGACGACAGTATCATACTTGAAACCCCAAAAGATACTCGTAGTAAACATAATATAACTAGCAGTGAAACACCAATACTAAAGAAAAAGAAGCACAAGTTGAACGATGTATTTTCATTTGCAACTCGTGAAATTGAAAACAGAAGTGATTTGTTTATATACGCATCTAATACAATTCAAGCGGGTGAAGTTATAAAAGCTATTAAAAAGAAAAGTGCCAAAACACTGGTGACAAAAGAATATAATGAAGATAAACGTAAATCTCTTAATGAATCAAAAGTTTCGTTATTGAAACACAAACTTCTACCATGTTTTTCAAGTATGTTTGGTAGGTCTTATTACAAACTATACGCAGTGAAAGAAACAAAATTAAAAAACACCAAAGATAAGATTTGTCAAGTCCAAAAGAGAAATAACAGGAAGGGCAGAAATAAGTTTTATGCAAGGCGTAATAATTACATAGTACAACCAGTATGTACCACTCATTGTAGAGCTTTTGGTAACATGAAAGAAACTCAGGTGTCTCTATTCCAGAGAAAGCCCAAAGCTCCCGTTAAACAGTATTCTAATACAAGTGTAACAGTTTCTCTCTCGTCTCAACATGATGACGGTAGCAATAAAAATGAAAGAGACTGTAAAAGGATATTAAAAGATGAAATACGAAGAGAATACAAGATGTATAAAACTAAAAAGTATCGTAAGCACCAGGAACAACAATTTCCTTCAAAACTAGGTCCATATCAGGTATTTACCAACCCATACCAGGAGCAAACTACTTTACGGAAAACACAAAGCAAGAATACATCGTCTTCTTCGAATCTGCCGTCAAGATCTTCGAGTTTTTGGAACAACATTGTGGACAAATTCTGTAAAAATAAGCCTAACTATAAGGCAGGATCGTTAAAACCCTGTGTATGCCAAGATGTTAAGCCAGTATGCTCGCCTGATAACTGCGAGTTCTTCAAATCTGACCCAGAAAATAAATCAAAAGACATACAATGTTCTTGCACTGATATTTCGCCTGCACTTCACAAAGAGCAGCATCGATGCTTTTGTGAAAAAAATAAAAAATCAGATAATTCTTCAAAAGCCGCTAAGGCCACTGATGCTTCTGGCAAAGTAAATAGTTCTAAAACGAAAACAGTCACCAAAAAGAATTCCAAATCAAAATCTGCGAACATCCAATGCGAATGCTTTCCCAAAAAAAGTAAACAGAAAACGAAGGGCAAAAACAAATCCATTGAAGGAACCCATATGATCCAAAGCGCTAGTACACCATGTCAGCAACCTCACGACGAAATAACTCAAGCTCTAACGGTTAAATACAAAGGTGAAATCCTCTGTATACACAATCCTCCTTGTGTTTTAATTAATGGCTGTCTAAACTTACCTCCACCGAAAGAAAATCCGATCGGAGTTTGGTCCGTTCCGGAGACGAGAGGCAGCATTTACGACGTCTACACAAATTTGAAAAGCCTCAAGAATGGTTGCGATCAGAGCTGTCAATACGATATTCCGAGTGTCGAAGTTCGACATTGTCAGACTTCGAATTTAAAGGCTGAGAAGTTTGTGCAGAGTCTATGTGACCACACGCCGCCGTGCGAAATAGTTAGATGCTGTTACAAGCACAAATATGACCCGAAATTAAAAAACTCTTGTATACACGTCCCGATGTGCCAGAAAGTGCCGGAATGTATGATTGAAAGAACTAAACAGAATCTGATGACTGGGTCTTGTGAGCACAAGCCAAGATGTGCGGAAGTACCGATATGCACAAGAGACTATCTCATTCTGACCGCCAAAGATTCGGTAGCCACTCAAGTAAGACCACAAAGCAAGTTTGTTTGTCGACATCAACCTCACTGTGTGTTTATACCGAAATGTCTAGGAAGCGCCATTCCTGAGAGTTGTGTACCAATTGAAGCAATACCTGATTGTGTCCACCAGCCCTTGTGTGAGATGATCCCGGCGTGCTGCAGAAAGTCTGCCAAGGAAATGATCTCAGTATGTTCCCAGTACCCAAACGGGTGTCGAGTTGTTTAGAGACAAAATCAATTCACCATACTATTTTCTTTTATTAAAATGTTTGCGTGCCAGTATTGTATTTGAGCGTAAAAAATACAATCGTTTCACACTTATTTTAAACTCGTTGTACATTTAGACATGCCATCATCTATTTATAGTTTTTGGGTTAAATGAGGTCATGGAACGTTTATTTATTTTTCTGTTGGTTTTATGTATAATATTTCACGATAAGAAATACTGCAATCATTTTTGCGCAGATACGAAGGATTCATTTGCCTTACGACCGTAGTGATGAGAAACACTTTTTTCGTTCACAAATTATTTGTGAAGAGGATAAATTTTAAATAATTAAATGCTATAATTAGGTTTCATCGCTATGAATTTAGTTCTATAGGGGTAATATATAATAATAATAAGACATCGACGGAAGAAAGTGGAATTGTCGTAACATGAAAAACCCAATTATATTTACAGAGATAGAGAGTTGAAAATGCCCTAAACACGTCATTTCGGATCCTCCCGATCCACTAACAGTGCTTTTAGGTACCCTAAGCACTGGTTACTGCTCTCGTCGAACCCGTCGCTTGCGACGAAGGGTTTGGCAAGTAAACTAACCTATAGACACAACCCGCTGAGTTTCACCGGATCTTCTCCGTTGGTCGAGTTTCCGATCCGGTGGTAGACTCTGCGAAGCACTGCTCTTGCTGGAGCTAGTGTTAGCAACGCCTCCAGGTTTGTGCCCCGAGAGTTCATTTACATGTTAGGGTTACGCTGACGTAGCTCAAGGAACAAAAAAATTAATTGAAAGTTGATATGGTAAGCTTTGGAAACGTTATTTTTTATACAAGAACATAGTAAAAAGTGATTTAGCCCAAAATGCAAGTTACGACATTTCCGCTTTCTCCCATTGACTCATTAACAAGTATATATAGCTTTATATGGTTTATTTCCATAGTGCACCTTATCATGCATCTTAATGTAATATCAAGTCTGAAATTAGGTGCATAGCCCACATATTCTTATTAGCACTAACGCCCACACGATAAACAAATATTAGAGCGCCGCCTTCGTATTGCATATCTCATTCTTGTACACGAGTCGAGTGGGACGCGCAAATTGTTATGTTAATTGACTCTTGTCTCCTAGACTATATCGGCTTGACAGTTTATGAAACTTGCAGCAACTATAATTTATAGGTTCGCGTGTTCTTGATTTGCGTTCGTTTATATTTACGTGCTCTGATAATTATAGTCGAACAGTTAGAATAGTTGTGATAGTTCTGATGTTTGTTGCGCTGTGGCTTGAGGTAGGTTTGAGTAATAAAAGTTAGGATATTTTTTTTTCTTCTTAAATCTAAAGTTGCTTGATTTTGCATTGTTCGTAAATTTTGACAGCATTGTACTGTGACCGTAACTTACTAAGTTTTTTGAAGGATAAAAAGCTCACGGCTCGTCTGATGCGAAGTGGTTATGTGATCCCATAGACGTGACAACGTAAATGCCACTAGGTGCATTGAAACTTCAGGACTATGTATCGATTGGATAGTGATTACGAAAGTTATAAATTTTGCAGTAATAATTTTTGTGACGCGATTCATACTTAATTATAGTACAAAAAAAACGGGATCTCGGATTCCGGGATCCTGCGGGATTTGAACACTGGCATGTTCGCACCACTCAATATGCGTAGACCCAGCGTTTTATCTTTTAGGTCAATTATAATACTTATGATTTTCAGGTGCGAACCTCGTGGGTTGAACAAGACGTCACCCAAAAAGATGTATGCAAGAACATGTTCATGAAAATTATACAAATGAAAAAGCGGCGTTAGTGAAAACAATGATTAATAAAATTTAAGGAAAAGAGACTGTATTTTGAAAACGTCTTTTTCTTGCTTCGTTTTGGTATTCATTTTGAACTTCCGATATTCAATAGCTTCAACTTCTCAGATGCCTTCTACCAAACCGTGTCACTCACTCTTCATATGCACTCCATTACCTTCAGTCTCTTGCCTTTCGCATCCAGTCCTTATCAGCTATTTTGTCCAGGTCATCTGTCCACCTAATTGGTTTTCTGCCCACGTTACGACTTCCGGTACGAGGTCTCCACTTCAGTACTTTTATGCCCCAAATGATTCTGAAACTAATTCTGAACTGAAATGATTTTGATGTATTAAAGTGTTTATTTATTTGGGAAACCAACAGTGCATGTTATATATTAAAATAAACAAAACTAAATTCAGATCAGTAAGCAGATACTGACAATTAACTCAAAGGACTANTTCTGCCCACGTTACGACTTCCGGTACGAGGTCTCCACTTCAGTACTTTTATGCCCCAAATGATTCTGAAACTAATTCTGAACTGAAATGATTTTGATGTATTAAAGTGTTTATTTATTTGGGAAACCAACAGTGCATGTTATATATTAAAATAAACAAAACTAAATTCAGATCAGTAAGCAGATACTGACAATTAACTCAAAGGACTATATACCTAATTTATTAGTAATTGAAAAGTACGAATGCTATTGGATATGAAATGAAACATATATCCAACTATATGCAGGAGCTAAATCGAAAAGAACATTTTTGTATTACCCTAAATGGAAAACACGCCAAATAGGCGATTTTTTTTGACATAAGACTTAAATATAAATAGATAATAACGAAACACCCAAATACCTTTTTGTCCTGTTTTTGCCAACTGTTTTTTGGTCTAACTATTGACGAGTTTTGATCTTAATAAAAAAAAACAATAAGAAAAGAATTCATTACAAAAAAGAAAATGTAAATACGTAAAGTGAATCTAAGTCGTTAGGTACCAGTGATTATAGTCGAATTTCGATTGTCAGGTGACCACTAGTTTAATTAAATTATCATCGCAACTCCATAAAAAGGCGACCACACACTCTAAAATATTCTAAGCATTCTAAAATACCTTTCTGCACAAGGTACCTCCAAATTTATTATTCTGATGTCAAATACTACGAGTAATAATTGACGTTAGGGTAACATTTCTGTTTTATTAACACGATTAGATAAATTGAAGGAACATTAATAAAATAACTTCCACTATCGAGATATGGGTTTTGTAAATAGCTACTTATATTCCTGTTTATATTGAAAGCTATCGCCGACTTGTGTTTCGGAGATACATATTTACATAGAGATTGTTTTATTTTTCATTTTTTATCGTAATGTAGCCAGGTTATATGGCGGCCCACCTTGTTAAGTGGAATTGGAAGTACCGGTGTTGAGTGGTTTTCGTAGCTCGAGACATTATATCGTGAATCCTGAAGTTTTGGCACTTTGGGACACGTGGTCGAAGACTCAATTGAGTATAACGGTTGGCTAAACTGTGATCTGGGGTTTAGATTTTCGGGAAACGGCAAGTAGTTGATTTGAAAGTTAAGGTCTTCCGATAAGACTTGAATAAAAAAACTTCGGTCAAAATGTTGTCTGGAAACTGTACATTTGCAAAATATCGGAAATAAATGTTGTGCACAACTTTAGTGAATAAGGTTTTTAACTTTGACGGGAATGTACCTACTTTGAATTTGAAAATTTCAAATCGGGACGTTTTTGCCACAATATGAGTCAAGCCACAAATAATCCTTTCTAAATTACTGGTGTCTTTGAAGCGACAAAGCGGCGTAAGTGCTGATAGGCGATATCTAAAATACTGTCGTCATTTACAATATTTAAACTTCTACGAATCTTGTACCAATGGATAACATATAGGAGAAGTGAAAATACAATTTACCTCAAAGTGTATTTCATGAATTTTCGTACGAAAAACGTCCGTGAACTATGGGTGTGAATCATTTGAAAAAAACACGCTAATTCCGATAACAAGCTTGAAACAATAAAGCTGTATTCTGTACGCGATGCGTTCCGTTTTACGTCCAGCTAACTATTGCTAACACGTTTTTTAATTAGGCGTTCTAAGATGGTGTAGAATGGAACGCAACGGACTGTTAAATGATACCCTCAATTATGATACTCATTGCAGTTACTTTAGTTTCTCGGAGCGTTTGAAATTTTGGAACATTTCGTCGTGTCGACGTCTGTTTTGTATTCTTTTCTCAATTCATCGAAAGCAAACGCCCTTGGTTCATCTTACTGTCATCATCGTAGCTCAGAGATATCAATAACGTCAGCGACATGGTCAAGTCACTATACGCATACCCTTAGTGACTTCTATGAATCTAGGAGTCTGTATTTTCAATTTTATAGCTAATAGAGCTAGCTCTACATGGCGGTGGGTGTCCTAATATGTCATGATTCTTTTAACCGACACATCTATATGTGAAGAACAAACATATATGTAAATATACAGAAGTATTGTGTTTGAAGCATGATGGAGTATAGCCAGGCAAAATATCTTTGTACCCCAAGCCTGACCGCCCGAAGATACTGAGCCAGCAGAAGTATCAATTTCTCATCTATACACATAATATGTAGTAGGGGAACGGATGCATTCTATTCAAAGAAGGCTAGAAATTCACGCCTATAAGGCACGATGCAACAGTGTTGAAGTTATACGTTCCATGTTAAACGGCCTCAACCCAGATTTTCACATAGACAGACATCTATTTCTAAGAATAAGATATATGAAATTTCATTTATCTTAGAATGTTTATTTACCACACGTTAATTCCCTTATTTACTGTTCAGAGGTGAAATTTCGAAAATAACGTTCCTTAGTTGGATGTCTCCATCTTAAAATGTAGCAGCTTTAATTTTAATTTTTTCATTGCTTACATTAGTGGATGAGTTCACAGCCCACCTGGTGTTAAATGGTTACTGGAGCCCATAGACAATACAACGTAAATACGGCCGCCCACCTTGAGATATGAGTTTTAAGGTTTCAGTATAGTTACAACGGCTACCTAACCCTTCAAACCGAAACGCATTACTGCTTCACGGCAGAAATAAGCAGGGCGGTGGTACCTACCTGTGCGGACTCACAAGACGTCCTACCACCAGTAAGCTGTAGTTAATAAAACACCACCAGCTGTAGTTAATCTTTCAGTTAATCAGGACAAGTGCTTATAAAAGTTTAAATCAAAAATAGACATTAATCCCCCTCTCTCTCTCTCTCTACTGGAACTAGTCTCAACTGGAAGTTGTAAAATTTGTAGAGTATTAGTGGGAAAGAACTAATGAAGTTAATCCCGACCGGAGATTGAAATTTTTGCTATAGTTGTTGGCTGACTGGCCATTAAGCTAAGGCGGTGATCAGTGCTTAATTGTTTCGGTTCAGTAAACATTTTTAATAGGAAATACAAAAATATTATTTACCAATTTCATTTTGACGAGTTCATTTGTCAAGATTTTTCGATTTTATAAAATTAAGAAGAAAAAACAGGGTGCGTGTACTTATGTACGCGCGTAATACGCGTTGGACATCCCTTTTCTTGAGATCGTATAAATTCGGTAATTCTCGGTACGGTTCGGAAAGTTCACCTGCGGCTATATTCAGACTCGCCAAGTTACGTCGGTCGTATTGTAATGAGCGATTTGGTGGGCAACTTCATTCTGTTAATTTTGTGTCACGGTGCGCGCGCATCGTAAAATTTCACTCTCATCAATTTTTCATAACGCGCCTAAAGAAGTATAACTTCAAAAAGTTTAAGTGGGTGGCCGCATTCGCTTATGTTGCCTATGGGTCCACCTAATGCCGTATGACCCGTAAGCACGTATACTCTAAGTAAAAATCATGTATTTTTGACCTAGCAATATCTGAGAGATAGAAGTTCCAGTTTTATCAAGTATGTATGTACCTAATGTGATCTACACATGTGTGTATATCGGTGAGTATGTTCACGGTCGATACAGCTCACTATAAGCATTGTCAATGACCCTGGCAAGTGTTTTGCCCGCTTAAAGTAAGATAGTCAAAGGTGAAGTTTGATCAAAAAATGTCACGGGAGACGATAAAATCAAAAATGTATAGCTTGACGCGTCGCTGTGAAAGAGGACAGTTACTGATTCATTTTGAAACAGTTAAAAATAGCTGTAATTACTCATTCAATTAAAAGACGGCTTGCGCCTCGCTGTCTTATGCTGAATTCCTGACAGATGACTCATGCGCAAGTTTCTTTACTAAAACATAGTAACAAAGGACCAGTAAATTGCCAAACTCAATTGTTTTGAGTGTAGAATATGTAATTTGGAATCGATTGAATGCAAATATACGGGATCTTTAGCCGCGCGTCCACATTCAATCACGGCGTATAAGCTTGTATCGCTCATACGAATGAAAAATGATTTGAAATACAACCGAATATATCAGGTAAAAGCCAGATGGAACCGGTGCAAACCGGCCCGGGGCTCAGTCCCAATAAACATTTCTAACTTATAGTTTAGAAGAATTTCCTAATCTATAGGTGCCCAACCGAGGAATTTTATCATTTCAAGCGTCTACATTTAGAACCAGTTATGTGCCTTTATTGAAAAAAATATATTTAAAAAGTTGTCCGCTCGAATATAGCCTTTAAGGTTTCGTGATAAAACGCGTTTTCTTCAAAATTCCAACGGCTGTTGTAACGTTTCTGTGTTTCTGCGGTATGTGATCAGAAACTAATGAGTGGGGACCATTGACCCCGACCAGTTTTTGATCTCGGCATATATTTGGGATACAGTACCGATCACCATAAAACTACAATAGTTATGTAAATGTGGTAAAGCCATAAAACAAAATGGCCGTGATGTGGTTTTTGAAATTTCAAAAGATTCCAATATTTGAAATTTTGACTAACATTAATTTTATGTGTGTCCAACCAAGCGGATTTGTGCGATAGATTTTTATTTATCACCTATGAAAT